GAGAATTCACCAGCCAGTCAGGGAGCAGGTTAAAATTTGAGGAGGAGGGGCGCCTGGGTGGCTCAGTGGGTTAAGCCGCTGCCTTCGGCTCAGGTCATGATCTCAGGGTCCTGGGATCGAGTCCCGCATCGGGCTCTCTGCTCAGCAGGGAGCCTGCTTTCCTCTCTCTTTCTCTCTGCCTGCCTCTCTGTCTACTTGTGATCTCTCTCTGTCAAATAAATAAATAAAATCTTTAAAAAAAAAATTTTTTTTGAGGAGGAGGCTGTTGTTTGGTTTGCCCGCCATGGAAGAGAGTACATTCTGAACTTGAACCAACCAAAGAATGGGGAATGAGTCAACATAAAAAAATAGGAAAAGTTGGGGCACCTGGCTGGTTCAGTTGGTGGAGCATGGGACTCGTAATCCCGGGGTCATGAGTTCAAGCCCCATGTTGGCATAGCACTTAAAGAGAGACAAAGTAGAAAAGATAATAATAAAGTTACATAATGAAATACTGTGTGGTTTCTTGGGTGATGAGTTTAAGGTGGTTTTAATTTTCTTTTAAGTTTTGTGTATCTTTTCAAGGGTTTTTTTTTTTTTCTTTTTAAGATTTTTATTTATTAGCATAAGTGGAGGGAGGGGCAGAGGGAGAAGCAGACTCCCCACTGAGCAGGGAGCCCAACATAGACCTTGATCTCAGGACCCTGGGATCATAGCCTGGGGCAAAGACAGACACTTAACCAACTGAACTACTGAGGTGCCCCCTTTTTCAGGTTTTTTTTTTTTTAAGATTTTTTTAATTTATTTGTCAGAGCGAGAACATAGGCAGGCAGAATGGCAGCAGAGGCAGAGGGAGAAGCAGGCTCCCTGCCAAGCAAGGACCCTAATGTGGGACTCGATCCCAGGATGCTGGGATCATGACCTGAGCCGAAGGCAGCCATTTAACCAACTGAGAGCCACCCAGGCATCCCCTTTTTCAGGTTTTAAATGCAATTTTTATTTAAACTGAATTTTAGAATATTTTTATATTGTAAAGATAATACAAAGTTTCCATATACCCCACACTTCATGTTCCTTATTAACGTCTTGCATTAGTACGGTATAGTCATCACAGTTAATGAACCAATATTAATGTTATTAAAAAAGTCCTTAAGTTTTTAGCTAATGTCCTTTTTTTGTTCTAGAATCCCCATTTAGAACAAATTACATTTAGTCATAATAGCATTTTTAAGTGCTGGGATTCGTATATATTGCTTACAAGCTATATTCTTTATCAGAGGTGTGGTCGAATAGACACAAATTTTAGCTCAAATTTAGCTTATCTGGAACATAACCAGAAGTCAAGACAGAATTTGGGAAGCATGACTGACCCCAGTGTTTCTATGAATGATCTAGCCTTTCATTGCTGTGGCTCTATGGTCCTGAGAAGTTTAAAACCATGAGAAAACGTCATACCTCTCCCACAGCTTTAAACACTAATTGTTTAACTTAGTAGTTTTCCTTTAAACTTCAAAAAGCTGTAATTAGGATAATGCCAGTTGTAGAGCACAGGCCAGGTGTACTTAAAATTATTAAAGCAGGGGCACCTGGCTGACTCAGTCAGTGGAACAAGTGACTTTTGTGATCTCAGGGTTGTGAGTTCGAGCCCCAAGTTGGGGGTAGAGGTAACTTTAAATCTTTTAAAAAAGCAAAATATAGGGGCACCTGCGTGGCTCAGTGGGTTAAAGCCTCTGCTTTTGGCTCAGGTCATGATCCCAGGGTCCTGGGATCAAGCCCCGAAACAAAACATATGAAGCAGAAATGCAAACATAAAGAGATCTCAGAGGGGTCCATTTCCTAGTTCCTAAATAAGTTGCTCATTTCTTTCAAGAAAGGGGTTAAATCATACCTTACACTTAGAAAGCATTTCTTTAGTGATAACCTGGAGGTACTAGGTATTTACAAGGTATTTTTATTCTGTTCCAGATGTCATACTTTAAGACTTATTAGAGGGACGCCTGGGTGGCTCAGTTGGTTAGATGATTGCCTTCGGTTCAGGTCATGATCCCGGAGTCCTGGGATCAAGTCCCGCATCGGGCTCCCAGCTCCACGGGTAGTCTGCTTCTCCCTCTGACCTTCTTCTTCTTTTTTTTTTTTTTTGGTCAGAGAGAGTGAGCACAGGCAGACAGAGTGGCAGGCAGAGGCAGAGGGAGAAGCAAGCTTCCTGCTGAGCAAGGAGCCCGATGTGGGACTTGATCCCAGGACGCTGGGATCATGACCTGAGCTGAAGGCAGCTGCTTAACCAACTGAGCCACCCAGGCGTCCCTCCCTCTGAACTTATTGCTCATGTTCTTTCTCACTGTCTCTCTCTCAAATAAATAACTAAAATCTTGAAAAAAAAAAAAAAAAGATTTATTAGAGAGGGGGAGAGAAGGAGAAAGCCCTCAAGCAGATTCCCTTGCTGAGCGTGGATCCCCATGGGCTCGATTCCAGAGATCATGATATGAATCAAAATTAAGAGTCAGCTGCTTAACCAACTGAGCTACCCAGGCGCCCCCAGATTTCATGCTTTAACACGTTTTCTTTTTCAGCACCCTACTATGTATTGGGAGTACAGTGGTGAATGTCAGTCTGCCCTCCTGGAGCTTATGGAGCAAAGTGCTGAATGGCTCCTCAGTAATGGGACATACACTGTTTAACAACTGAACACATGTAAGGTTCATTAAAGCACCACTGAGAAAAGGCGCTTTTGAAATGTAACTTAAACAGATCCACACTGCTTCCCTTGGTTTTTATCACCTTGTAAGCCTCCCATCGTCATGATGTAGATACTGCTTTTCCCACCAGCCTGGTGCCCGGCAGAATTCCTTCAGTATACTTGGCTCTATCCACTCTTCCCGTGGCACAAATTGAGAAGGGCTTTGCCTTGAGTGGCATCCTAGGAAGCTTTTAAGACTGGCGTTTTTCTTTTTTGTTGTCTGACTAATGGAGGTGAAATGTGTCTATAGAATTCTCACACCGCACTTACAAATAAGAAAGTTTCATAGAGTTGTTAGGTCATCTACCAGTTTTTAAAAGGAAGTACTGGTTTTCTATCTCCTGTGGCTGTTGGACGTACCTAGTTTGTTTTTGTTTTTGTTTTTTTAAATTATCTCTACACCCAGCGTGGGGCTCGAACTCACCACCCTCTGCAGAATGAGCCAGCCAGGTGCCCCTGGCCTACCCAGTATTGATCTCTGATAGATGTTCCATTGGAATGCCAGGGGGGGAGGGCTAGAAGCTTTATTTGGCAAGTGTTGACAAGTCCTTAGTTCCTTATAAAGTGTGTAGGGAAAGTTAGCAAAAATGAATGCTAATGACTTATTGCAAAAACCTGAGGGGCCTGTGCTGAAGCTAGCATTACTTAACCATTGAGTTTTGACACCTCAGCTGGCGTGACAACTGTCTCAAGAAATTGTCTTCTCCCATAAACTTAAGAAATATGGCCCCTGCCACAGTTATGAGATGAGAAAAAAGGATATTACCAAATTAAAAAGGCTGGAATTCATTGCTCTAAGACAATGGGTATTTTTGGGGGTGGGGGTGTTTTAAGAAAGCAGAATTTGGGAAGGAAAGTGAAGGTAGCCCCAGGAACAGGGTTCAGATCTCTGCTCTGCCACTTACTGGTTTTGCCAATGTACTCTGTAAAATTCAAATGATAAAATTCACCGAGCTTTCGTAGGGATGTAAATAACGTGAAATTGCTTTGCAAAGTGAGCACAAAACAGTGAGGTCACAACTGAGATTGCCTTGCTGTCTGTGTAGACTTTGCCAATGGTCCATTCCTTCACCCAGGCATCACCCCCTTGGAACACCATTGGGAACCCATGCTTAGGTTAATAAGCAGCTCTAAAACTAAATAATCTCTTCTGGGTAGGGAGAAATTTCTAGGAGAACACTCCTGAAATACTATTGTAGCTTTTGATGACCTTTTTCTTTTTTTTAATTTTTAAAAAAGATTTTATTTATTTATTTGACAAAGAGAGAGAGATCACAAGTAGGCAGAGAGGCAGGCAGAGAGAGAGAGAGAGGGGTAAGCAGGCGCCCCACTGAACAGAGAGCCTGATGCGGGGCTCGATCCCAGGACCCTGAGATCATGACCTGAGTGGAAGCCAGAGGCCTAACCCACTGAATCACCCAGGTGCCCCGATTTTATTCTTTTTAAGTAATCTCTACACCCAACATGGGGTTCAAACGTCAACCCCAAGATGGAGTGGCATGCTCCACGACTGAACCAGCCAGGCACCCCAACACATTCTCTTCAGGATAGAATCTACCGTCTACTAAGACCTAGATATCAAATGGAGATGGGCCTGCTACCTTCCTGGACTGTTCATTCGTACTGTGCCTTAACATTTTTTTTCAAACAACCTCTAGTTCTCACAGGCGTAGGTTCACATTCTCATTTCATGGATGAGCTAAATGTTAGCGTGGTTGAGTGACCCAAACACAGCTTTCGGACTACGCCCACTGCATTATACATGCCGGGAGAGTGAATTTTTCCGGCATGCCCTCAACCAAATTTTTTCCAATTTGTGGCTCCTTGCAGGGCTTGTGAATTGTGTAAGAGTGGTTCAGGCTGCTTTAGGGCTGGTTCTGTACACCTGTGAAGAAGGCACTTAAATATTTAGAAAATGAGCATCAAGTAAAGGCCGCTCTTTTCCAGAGTCCTGCCTCGTCTATCCCGCATCCCAGCGGCTGGTCTACCCCATATTGCCCTGAGCTCCTCAGGCTGCAGTGATGACGAAGGCCAGTGGGTATCGCTGAGCTAAAAAAATGGGCTTTGAAGGACTTCTGTGCGCCCCCTCCCCCCTTCGCCGTTCGCCAGGGGACCGGGTCTCAGCTCGGAAAGGAGGCTCATGTGTGGGGTCCGGGAAGGCGCAGACCCCAGTGCCACCTCAGTCCATGCCCCCAGAGGACTACAGCCCCCAGCATGCTCAACGGCACCCCCCTGCCCCCGCTAGGCCCAGCGCGCGTGCGCGGTGGCGCCACCGAGCGCAGACGGTCCGAGCGGTGGAGCGGCGAGCCGGACCTGGGTTAGCACTGAGGTGGCGGGGATTTGGGGCGGCGAGGCAGCTGGACGTCCCGCGCCGGGCAGGTGAGTGCGGAGGGAGAGGTCGGCCGTGACTCGCTGGGTCTGTGAAGCCCGGCGCCCACACCTGCCCCTCAGGTGGGGTCGCGGGGGCGGCTGTGGAGCGACCGACTGAAGGACTGACGGGCAGACGCGGCAGACGAGGGGGAGAAGCACCGCCTGTGGCCAGGAGAGCGGCGGGGCGGGACCTCGCAGGTGCCCGCGTGGGTGGGGGCGCCGGCCGGGGGCGCCGGGCGCTGGCTCTGGCGGGCGGTTGCCGGGCCTGCGGGGCCGCGGCGGGGCTCGGACCCGCGTGTCGCTGCGTCCCCGCATCCCCGCCCGGAGCGGGGGCGGCCTCCCAGTGCGGACCGCGGGAGCGGGGGCCACCGGCGCCGGAGCCTCGGTGTCCTGGGGGCTCGAGTCCGAATAATACCCCTCCCCGAGCAGCTGCGAGCGGGTTTACAGAAACCGCACCTCAGGCCGGGGGCGGGGGGGGGCGCGTTTTCTTTTTCTTTTCTTTTCCTGGGGCACATTTAAGCTGTTTGCTTCCTCAGGCTTAATTCGTGACTTGACGTTGAAGAGTTAGGTCCGGGGTCAGAACACAGGCTCAGATGCAGGCGGAGACTCGCTGTAATGCGTGTGTTTTAACTTTGGGGAAACTGAGGCATGTATTAGCCGAGATCACTCAGCGTGGTTAGGGTTATAATTCCGAAAATTTTACTTAGTTTAATGATCCAGGATGCTTTTTCTATGGAGGATGAAAAGATGTTTTAAAGTTTCTTTTCTGTGACGGGTGACTGTCGTAGGTTCCAGTCTCGTGCTGCACGTGAAATTTGTGGTGGGTTGCTGGCTCTGTGGGTTTTGGTGGGTTGTCAGAGGTGTCCTGAACTATTCTTTGCCCTTCTTTCTTATTTTTCCTTGGTAAATTCAAGTTCCTAATAAGACTGATTCACAAAAACTGAATTTCCAACCTTGAGTTGTTTACTTGTAGCTTTTATTTATTTATTTATTTATTTATTTATTTATTTTTAAGGAAGATTTTATTTAGAGAGAGAGAGAGAGTGAGATGAGGCAGGGATGAAGAGAGAGGGAGAGAACCTGAAGCTGATTCCGTCCTCAGCATAGAGCCCTATTTGGGGCTTGATTCCCCCCTCCCCAAGACCACCTCCTGAGACGAACCCGGTCACATGATTAACCGACTGAGTCACCCAGGTGCCCCTACTAGTAGCTTTTAGTGATTATGTTTGTGATTAAGTTTGTAGATAACACATATATTTCCTACTTCTTTTTTTCCTCATCTTCTTTTCCTTATCTTCTAGTTTCCTCTGAACTCTAATCAGTAATTATATCATCTTTGTTCTACATACTCATATCTGTTCTCCGTGATTTATTTGTAATCTCATTCTAAATGGAAGTCAGTATCTTTCCTGTCTTCCCATAATCCTAGCTATGTGTAGGCTTTTGTCACAGTAGCCTGGGCTTTAGTCCTCTTCCCTGCATCCCTTTTTAAGCATGGAGATTTGTGATATGGTTAGGAGGAAGGGCGTGAGGTATTTCTGTCCATCAGATATGGGTAACAGGTGAACATGACCCATGGCCAGACCATTAACTTTAGTATATGTGCTGCTGAAGTGAGCATGAGGGAACTAACTTTAAAAGGCTGTGAATAAAAATTACTTAATAATTACTTACATATATTTTTTAGAGATTTTATTTATTTAATTGACAGAGATCACAAGTAGGCAGAGAGGCAGGCAGAGAGAGAGGAGGAAGCAGGCTCCCTGCTGAGCAGAGAGCCCGATGTGGGGCTCGATCCCAGGACCCCAGGATCATGACCTGAGCCGAAGGCAGAGGCTTCAACCCACTGAGCCACCCAGGCGCCCCTTAAATATTTTTTTTTAAAAAGCGTGCTAATCTTGTGAATTTGGAAACTTGTCAGATGACAGAAAAGTTGGTGAACTGGAGTAGCAACTCATAGGAATGACTCTGACATGAGGGTGAAATATTGAGAAAGAAACTCAGGAGAGAACCCTCTCTCTCTTTTTTAAAAAGATATTTGAGAGAGAGAGAGAGAATCTGAGGCAGACTCTGCACTAAGTGCAGAGCCCCATGTGGGGCTTGATCCTGATATTGGGACTTCAGAACCTGAGCTGAAACGAATTGCTGGACGGCTCTGCTGGCTGATCCACTCAGGCATCCCGAGAACCCTTCCTTTTATCGTACAGCCATCTTTCTGTGCCTGGGGTGGATGCTGGGAACACCTTGTTGGCTTAGGAAGTTAAACAATGTTCTGTGTGTTTGTGTTTTCGGTTTCTCTCTTCCTAGCTCTCAATGAGTTTTGGCAGGAGCCCAGAATCTTGTACATTTGATGATTTAACTTCAGTTTTATCTGCTTGTTTTCCAGATTGTCTCTATTTCCTCAGCTGATGACATTAGTAATTTTCCATAGTAGCCATTCATGAGCTCATGCAGACTGTCACTAAGAAGTGGAATAGCACAGAGGATGGTACACACAGAAGAAATAAGGATCCTGTTTCTTTGCCATCACATATTGCACATAGACTGGGATAGGAAATCTGCATTGAAGCACGAGCTATGTAGGAGGGGTTAGAAAACCAGAGTCCAGCCTTCTGCATACAGTAATAGTCATTAATAGCATTTACTGGATTTCATAAAACATAAAAAGATGATATACCTACACCTCACTGTGACAGTGACAGCATGTGGCAAACAGATGCTGTCATTGTCACAGTGAGGTGTAGGTATATCATTCTTTTTTTGTTTAAGTTGAAGTACAGAAGTTAAGTAATTTGCCTACAGATGTAGTAAGTGACAGGGTCGGATTCAAATTTATGCCTATCTGACTCTGTCATCCCTGCTCTTTCTACTCTGCTGTACCACCTTCCCAACAAGTATGTTCAAATCTTTCTCATTCTTTTTTTTTTAAACATGAAACATTTATTTATTTATTTATAAGGTTTATTTATTTGGCAGACAGAGATCATAAGTAGGCGGGGGGGGGGGAAGCCGGCTCCCTGCTGAGCAGAGAGCCCGATGTGGGGTTCAATCCCAGCATCCTGGGATAATGACCTGAGCCGAAGGCAGAGGCCTTAACCCACTGAGCCACCCAAGCACCCCAAAAATCTTTCTCATTCTTAAAAAAAAATATAAAACTTTCCTGTGATCACATGTCTCCTTCAGACTACTTCCATTTCCCTCCTTTTCCTTTCTTTTTTGACGTGTTCTTGAAGAGCAAACACTCTTGCCCTCTCTTTCTTTGACTCCTTCGTTCATTCCAGTCTGACTCCCACCCTCTACTCTGTGGAAATGTTCTCATGAGCTCCACTCAGCTATTTAATGTTTCCTATACCATCTTCTAGACATATAAAAAGGCTAAGACATGGTTCTTGCCCTGAGGGAGTTTAGGGACTAATGAAAGAAGAAAAAGAACTTCACTCACGTCAGTATGATGTTTTAAACTGCTGACCAAGCAATCTTTGCTCTTGGGACTTGGAAGAACACTGAGAAAGTGACACTGGACTGCCGACAGAGATGAACCCTAAACCGTTGCAGACGGGGCTGTCAGGACTGCATGGTTAGGTGTGGAGTTTTAGGAGAAGCAGTATCTTGCCTGTGGGAGTTGATAACGTCAAAATCTATAGTGTAGGTCTTAGAGTCTAACAGACCTGGGAACTGAGCCTCAATTTCTTTTTTATAATACCTGCTTACAATGTAAGCTCTATGAGAGTAGGGCCTTTATCTTTTTTACCACCTCACCTCTGTCTTCTGGAACAGTGGTAGGTGATCAATAAATATTTGATGGATAAATACCTCTTAGGATATTGTATTCAGAACATGGATAGTACTCTCAGCACCCCATGACTGAATGAAGCTTACTGTTAGTGTGACTTATGAACGGATTTTGAAGACACCATTGCTTGAACAGTATACATATAATTACCTCTCCTTCTTTTTTTGAACATTAGGTTCCTTGATGGTCATATTCATAAATGAGGAGTGACATTTACCTTTTTTTGGTAGGCACAATTAACTGGGTCTTCTAACATTATGCCTCTCACAGTTATAAACATATTTCTACTACTTCTCAGTGTGATGCAGGTGTTCTGTGGGTGTTTCTTTTCCTCCGCTAATGTGAATTGTTTTGGGAGGTTAACTTCTTTGGAATCATTAAATAACTTTGTCAGTAAGAGTGACATTAGAAATGAGATTAAGGGATGCCTGACTGGCTCAGTTGGAGCATGCAACGCTTGATTTTGGGATTATAAGTTCAGGCCCCATGTTGGGTATAGAGATTACTTAAAAATAAAATCTTTTTTTAAAAAAAGAGATTGAGGGGCCCCTGGATGGCTCAGTGGGTTAAGGCCTCTGCCTTCGGCTCGGGTCACGATCCCAGGGTCCTGGGATCGAGCCCCGCATCGGGCTCTCTGCTCAGCGGGGAGACTGCTTCCCTTCTCTTTCTCTGGCTGCCTCTCTGCCTGCTTATGATCTCTGTCAAATAAGTAAATAAAATCTTAAAAAAAAAAAAGAGAGAGAGATTGAAAGCTCTAATCAGAAGGCTTACACTTGGGAAGGGTCTGATTTCCAGTAGAGCTAAGAGAAGACTTTTTCTTAACAAAATGATAGGACTATTCCTGGTTGTCTCTAGATATCTGGTTAGGCTTCCAGCTAATATTCTAAAGATATGTATCAGCAGTTCATTTCCCTCTTCTTGTATTTGAGTTTCGAGTTTCATTTGTAAATACCCTTAATTTGTGTGACTTGAGTTTAGGGTTAAAGTCCAAATACCACTTTTTTTTTTCCCCACTTTCAAAGTCTGTGGAGTACAGTAATTAGGAGTAGCTACAGCAAAGTTCAGATTCTGCTCTACCACTTTAAACTTTGAAAACTTTGGGGCACCTGGGGTCTCAGTCGGTTAAGTGGCTGCCTTCGGCTCGGGTCGTGATCCCAGAGTCTTGGGATCAAGCCCCGCATCGGGCTCCCTGCTCAGTTGAGAGCCCTCTTCTCCC